TTGATAATACTTCCAATAGTACTGTGATGATCAGTGATGAGCAGTTAAAATTAAGAGTTCTTCATGCTTTCAAAGACAATGCCTTTAGCTAATTTTTCTCCCTGAAAAAGGGAGGAGGGTCACTAATATTAGCAGTTCACAAATTACTTTTACTTTATATCCCTTAAACCCTGAATTACCTTCAAGAATGAGTTACATTTCAAAGCAGTATATTTCATTGAATTAGTTGACTAAGTAACAATAAAGATTTAGCATTTACCGAGAAAAATTCAATGTTACTTTTCCCTCCCAACTTTCGTTAATTTTTAGTGTTAATTCTAAGTGTATACAAACATGATGTTAAAAAAAATTAGGGCAATTAAAAATAACCAGGGGAAAGAATACATAAAATTAAGGAGCAATAGAAAGCCAACAGTAAAATGAAAATTTTTATTTCAAAATCTTAACAGGAACATTTTCTCTTTCAGTAAGAGCCCCTTAAGTCGGGAAATGAGCACACTGAGGTTAAAAAACAAGATTCAATTCACACTGTGCTTGAACTAGACGTACTTAGCCGACAGTAAATACACCAAGTCAACCTAACACGATGCAGAACTTATTTCATATGCAAATATGTTGCTGACCAAATACTGCTTGTTTTGTCTTCTGATAGCCATCCACACCTTTCCTGGTCCTACTCAGGACCAAGGAGACGGATTTTAGCCACAGCTGGCCAAAGCGACGAGGAATGCCATTCCAGTTTTCCACCAGTTTGAAACAGAAAACACGTGGGTCGTGCATGGAGACCCACATGGCTGAGTCATCGTGTTTCAGCCCCTCACTGCGTTCCCCCAGGTGCCCCCCTACAAACTGCTTGCGTTAGAGCAGAGAGGACGGGAAAGCAGGTGCGCGGTGTATAACCCCTGGACAGCGTTCCCCAGTGGCCGCCCATCTCCGTGTGTCCAAAATACTCGGTCCTCGGGAAGCTTAGGCTTCATATGAGAACTAGTCCCCAAGGCGTCCCTGGACCCTGAAGCCATGGAGCTCCCCTCCAGCTCTATGACCTCGATTCTGCTCCTCACACTCTCCTCCCCATCTCTGCCCAAACTGTGGGAACCGGTCATTTACAAAGCAGAGTCTGTCAGCCTTCAGAGTGAGGAGTCACCCTCAGGCCACCGGCTGTGCCGTTAGCTGCGAGACCTGGCGCTCGGGACAGCTTACCGTCTCCCAGGCTCCCTCGGGATGGCCTCGCGCACCCAGACCCTCCAGGCGGTGCTGCAAGTCCCCAAGAGACACAGAACGGAAGCACTCAGGGTGCCATCACTGCTGCTTTCAGACCAGACCTCGCGTTTGTGAGATAAATGGGGAGCCCATATTACGCCATGGAATTAAGCTCAATTTTATTAAGTACAGTCGTGACATTCAGCCAAATAAGAAAAACTCCACAATCCTTTAAGAGTAGCAAACCCAGCATGACAGGGTGTCTGAGATCCGTAGAGCCGCTTAAAGTACTTCAACAAAAAGAAAAAAGATGAATGAAGCAAGTGCTATGAAATCTTAATAATTATTAGATATCTACATATATGTCAGAGTATTATTCTACCCCTGCATATGTCTGAAGTCTTCCACCACCAAAGAAGTAACTTCCCGCTACCCACCGAAGGATCATATTATTTCCAAAGGCTCTAAGTGTGCCTTTAAAAACTACTTGTATATATAGTAATTTTGCTTTTCACCATTTTGGCTTTTGGAAAGGGTTTCCTCCTGGCTTGGTTATTTAAAATAGACTCTCCACTTTATCACCAAGAATTTCCCGAGGTGGAGAGGGGGGCAGAATCTATTCTTATATATCAACATAAACAGACAAGATACCAGCTTAATTAAAAATAAATCAGCATAAAAAATAACTCAGGCAGAAAGAAAACCAAGTCACAACACTCAACCTCGATGACTGCCAACCCAGCTTCCAGCTCTGTGACGCTGTCACCACCATGACTTCTATTTACTTTTGCACACAGAGAGAAGGGTAAGGCTCCACTGGTGTCTGGGGAGTCATGAAACATAAACACTGAAAACTGAAAGCTCCACCTCCCCTGACGCACCTCTGCCTCCCTCAGTCAGTCACCACCGCCGCGTGGGGAGGCCAGGGGCATGCCCGATACTCAGACCTTCGGAACTGGGATGATTTTCAGAGTTAGCATGACCGGCAGCAGCCTCAGCAAGGCCAGGGTGTGCCAAACTAGCACCATCGAACGACCAGCTGCAAAGGAGCAAACCCACCACTTCTATTCCCACACTATTTAATAATTAGACCAGTAAAAAGGAAAATAAGTGTTACAAAACTGAATTTAAGTCTAAAACACCTGGAAATTCAGTCCTCGAGTTTAAACGCAGCAAGTGGAGAGTACATATGGTGACATCGGGAACTACTCAGGAAAGCCCGTCAGTTTGAGCATCCATTACAGGCTTAATAAAGATTTCAGCTTCATTTCCTAGTCCTCCACCTACGTAATACTGCATAACATGATGAATCCTCATAAATGAACAGCTTCAGGCATCACAAGAATCTAAATTAATAATTATGTTCAGAAAATTTTGACTGCTAAGAACTATGCCCTAACTCTTCACTAAACCATGATCCACGGAGGATTCGTAGTCTCGTGTCCACAGAGGATAACTCTTGTTGAACCAAAAGAATCAACAAATCAGCATACAGATTCCTTCTTAATCTCCTAACATTCCTAGTATGTGAAAGATAAAAACTGTAATTTATTTTTGATCAAATATTTAAAATATATAAATAAACAGAGACAATTTATTAGACAATAAAATAATACAGCAAGTCCATAAACTTGCTATCCAGATTTAATGACTATCAACATTTGATACATTTGAGGTTTTTAAGGAAGCAAACATTATAAATGTAAACCATAGCCTTCTTCTAGTTCTGAGATCAGCCTTCTCATAAACCTCTATCTCCCCTTCTATTTAACACTCCCAACTTTCCCACACCCCACGTCTCACTGCTGTTTCACAGACCCATCTTCCTCTATTACTTCACAGAAAAATTGCTTGAAGAATCTATACTTCCAATTTCCACTTCCTCTCCCTCTGATTTATTCTCTCTCCTACTGAAACCTGGTTTCTGTTCACTGGACTCCTATTCAACTCGAAAACCTCATAAATCCAAGGTTATTTTACACACTTCATATTACTTGACCTCTCCAGCAACTTCTTACTGAGGCTCCCACATCTGGGGGCCTACAGGCCGCAGGCCCCCACTCTTAGATACTGAGGTCTACCGTTCTGACTGTGCAGGACCAGAGGTTGGGAGCGGGAGGACAGGGAGCCATTTCCTAAAGGGAGAGGGAAGATGTGCAGCAAAAGGGCTGAATGACAGTTACAAAATTATATAAAAGATAAATAGCTATAAAATTATAGTTATGAAAGGCCAGGAATTATAGTTATAAAAACTCTAGAAGACCCCAAATTCACCAAAAATTATGTGTGCATTCTGTTTACACAGATAAAAAGACTAAAGGATAAATACCAAAATGCTAACAAAGCTTAAATTTCTGGATATGAAAAGTATAGATAGCTTTAATTTTCTTCTTTACAATAATATATATTCTGTCAATTTTCTACAATGAACGTGCATTTTTTTAACAAGAAAAAGGCTGCATTTAAAAAACAGAGCCAAGGCCTGCATGCCTGTCTTCCAGGGAGGTGGGGGGGGTGGGGAGCGGGGGTGGGAGCAGGGGGCGGGGGGTGGGGGGCGGGGAGGCGGGAGGGACCACCTGGTGAGGAG